CATGCAAACTGAGAAGCATTTACAGTAAATCATCATGAAGAATTCAAAAGAAGAGAGTTAAATTAAAACCCTTTGAGTATTGCATGTTAACACATGAGTAATTTGCATGGTTTGACTTCCTAAACTGCCTAAAAAAGCAATGTTTACGGCAAACTTGCACTATGCTATGGATGTCCTTTCACCAGACATCGGAATAGGTTACACTCTTTATGAGCGCCCGGCTAGGGCAGCGCAAGCACATCTGCAGATGACACTGCTCTCATGTTCCCTCTCACAGGGGACAAAGGGGGCCCAGTGCACGCAGAGAGGCCCTTGAGCAAAGTCAGCAATTGTGTAAGCAGACTGGCATTTACAGATATCAGAAGCAGTAGTCATAGCATCTCCTGACAGATGAGCTTAAAATCAAGTGCTTTGCTCTCCATTCTATCTATATATAATTTTTTGACAAAGTATTAAAGTTTTGGAGCATAGATAAAATTATGCCCTATATGAAATTCCCAAACAATATTTTATGAGAGATCTAACTCCAAATAGCTTACCTGCCCCATAGTTCAGTTTTTCTTTATCCACTTGAACTTGTTTCTTCCTAAGGCTTCACTTACAATTGTACTTTCTAAAGCTAAATAAACGAGATCTTTTGTTCTGTTTGGGGAGAAAAAAAAAAAAAAGAAAGAAATGTAACCCTTTCTTTATCATACCTTTTAAAGGCAATCTAGGTACTTTCAATGTGCAGAGATCAGTTACAACATAGGTCTACAGGCCCATGTATTTGTCCTCCTTTTCTAGAGTCATGATGTGATGCTAGAAAAGTTGATTTTTTTTCTGTAAACAGTACACTTACTTAGATGGCAGTGAATATTTGGGAATAAATATATCAAGCCCTCTTGAAGAAAATTAAGAGTTGTATATAAAATGCAAGTGTTCAGCGTGGAAACACTTTCTCTTCCTACCCCCCCCTTTAAAAAACAGCATAATTAGACATTTGGATATAGAGTATATTTCACCGGTCTAAGTCTAAATAAATGATCTGAAAGGCTTTTGTCCCCCATTGTATATCTTACAATGCTCAAAGGGTTAATACAAGGCATTACATCAAAGGGGTTTTCTAATACTAGAACTAAGCACTGAATTAATGCTTCTATTCCAGTTTTAAAAAAATCACCGAAGTTGCAGAAATACTAGGATTCCATTAATTGATTTGTTCTAACCATACACATGGAGGTTGATCTGATCTAGTGACAAGCCTAATTTTCAATAGCACTGCATGTCAACCCCTCTCCCCCATGTTCTGGTGTGATTCATACAAATCACAAGTTCTAACTTCAATTTTTTGATGATTGCTATTTTCTCACCAAGAATTTGGGGGAGGGGAGGTTATAACAAAGGTCAATTTGTTGTATATAACCACTGCCTCAAATTGCACACAAAGGTGACTTGCCAGTTTTTTACTTTCTACTTGTGTCCACACAGGGAGGACCAACATCACAGTGACCCACATTTTTTTCTTTTACACTAATATTTCAAGCACAGCATTATTTTAGATGTTTCGAATATATCATCTGAAGAATTTTTCAAATTTGAAAATGCATCACGTTTAGCACTTCTAGAGAGTGCGTTCATGTAAAAAGGTTCATGATTACGGTAATGGAACCGTATTCAGTCCTGAATGACTTTAACTGCATTCTACAAGAACGTGTTCCTTTTCACTCGTCTACTACAAATCAAAGGCAGTCAATGTTGCACACTACTAATTTTAGGTATGCAGTGTTAAAAATCATTTTCTAAAATTTACTTTTGTTTTTCAAGTACACCATCTAAAGAGAGGTGCATGAACCGTGCTATACAGTACAAGAAAAAGCACAAAAAGGAAAGCAGATTTCTGTAAAGGCAGTAAGACTTATACAGTCAGTCCAAGCGTAGTTTGGATGAGAATCCTGAAAAAGTGACGAGCCACTTGATATCCAAAGAAAAAATTTAAAGTTGGGCCCTGTGTTCCAAGGACATGGTTCATCCATTTCGCCCCATTGTTCACTGGCTTTGTGAATGCCAATCTTTTGGGTATGATTCTCAAAGTGTATGTGAAGATCAAACTATACCCATGATACTCAATCCTATTACACAGAAATATCTTTCTTGAAACTTAAAAGTAGCCAACACGCCTTCCTCACATTTTTCCTCACTGAAAGCATAGCACTAGGTCTACATAGATATTTTTCATGACTAGTGTTTAATTACAGTGTCAAGAAATATTAAGAAGTCCTTAAAATGTGTACTTGCCACTTGTCAATAAATCTACTCTGAGAATGTTAGTGTCATAATATTATTTAGAAAAGTCAGTTTCAGTGAACAGAAAAAATGAAAATAAAATGTTCAATACATGTTTGCTCCAATTTGCTCAATTGTATAAATTATGTTTTTATTTTCTAATATACTTCACAATTTAAATTTGAAATTGCTTAAGATATGTGTGTGTGTGTGAGATCTTGTATATATATGTGTGTGTGTGTGTGTGTGTGTGTGTCTTACTGTGGATTACAGATAACTGGAAATAGCAGAGCTCATAGATGTTATTTTGTCTATTGATCAGAACTACCTACCCTAGTCACAAAGAATTAATGTTCCTAACTGTGCTCATGAAAGACATTAGAATATTTTTAGTGAGACAAGTTAATAATATTTAATTCCTCTAATCTGTCCTAATTTAGAACAAACCATGAACAATTGGAAGAAATGTTGAATCCTGTAGGGTGCCCAATCCCTAACTTTCATCAATCTAAATTTGCCATTATCAGATTCCTCTAATGAGACAACATTAAATTAAACAATGATAATAAATACATTTAAAATCATTCAATAAACAAGATGAAACCAGTAAATACATTTGGTCCAACACAGATATAATAAAGTTCTGGGGGTTGTGAATGGGGAAGTGAAAAAATTCAGAAAGGAGCATCAAAATGAAGAATTTTTTTTCCTTTTTAGATTTTAATTTTACCTGTAAACCTTTCCTAATGCACGATGAAGTAGATACACAGTCTTTGCAGCTTTAAGGTGTTTGTTTGCGTTTGTGTGTGTGATAGTGCAAATTCATTGCCTTTAGGGGAGGAAAAAGGGGAATGATCATTTAAATGACATTTAAATGAAGGTGATGCTAGGATGCTAGTGAAGACTTTCAAACATGTGAGTGAGTTGTATGATACAAAATTTGAATCGATTTTAAAAATTATATCTGAATGATTTAAAGTTTACTTAAGAAGCTTTGTTGATCTTAGTTATTTGAGTAGTCTAAGGCAATCAAGTAACAACAGTTGAAATGTACTGCATGTTACCCAATAAGCCATTTGGTATTTTCAACTGTACAGACTGGCTCACCCTCTCCTTTCCACCCCCCCGCCCCCACCCTCCCCACCCTAATAAAACTGGAAAGATAAACGTCTTGAGTGTAATATAGGCCTCATTAATAATCTGTAAATCATTTTGTGCTTTCCCTTTTTTTGGCTCTATGCATTTGTGTATTATTTATTTTTGCTAATTAGCTTTTTTAGAACTATTTAAATAAATGGATGTGCCTGTTTTTGTTGTTGTTGGTTAATAATTTGAGAGCTTAAAAGAACCTTGCTTTTCACATAAATTAAAGTAGGGATGGGTGTTATCCTCTCTGGGATCTCACCTTCTGACTTGGTAGCTGATTCCTGCCCACGGACACTTGCGCGTGCATGTGGGCACACAGACACTGAGACACACAGAGAAACATTTAGACTGAAAAGATGCACTTCAATAAGTACCTGCTTATTGTGTTAATTTTCTTAAGTTATAACTAGATAAGAATGGTCTAAAATATATATGATTTTCTGTAACAAAGTTGGTAATTAAAACTAGCCTGCTATTTCACAATAGCAATCTGATCCTTAATCCTTAAGCAATGTGATTTGTAATCAAGTAATATTCAGCTCTAGGAACAAAAATAAATTCACGGTCACTCAAAGAGGGGAAGTGATTTTTGTCTTTTCATTTTGCTTTGTTTGCCCTAAATTTCCTTTGAAGAACATGTTACCTGTCCTTACTTCGGGAATCTGAAAATGACAGGCACACCTTGTCAAATGGATTGAAGAGGAATTCACATGAACAAAATAAGCCTTACTAAACCTTAGCTTCAGTTCTGTTTTAAGGCACCATGTAATAGCCGAGGTACGATGATCCCTGATGTACATTCTTCAACGGCACTGGTCCATCCAGCCACCTATCCAAATCCTACAGAATTGGGGATAAGCAACAGTGCGGTGTGCCAGTTACACTGCCTTCAGGTTCTGTTTAAAATTTAAATCCACATACTTTAGAAACCAGGAAATATTTTTGAAGGAAATAACGATATGCAGGTTGCTACATTCCTTGCATTCCATAAATTTTCTTTTATAATAGCAGCATATTGAACTACTATTAGGAAAAAGACCTGGAATAAAAGAAAGTCATTCAAATGGAATGGTTTCCCGTATGTCCAGCTCAGCATAAGTAGCATGTACACTTAAAAAAAAAAAAAAGTCAAGTCATTTTTTTCATCTTCAGTATCTAACTATAACAGCCCCACTCAACAGCAGAATGCATCTGTGCAGTGGTCCCAAATACAGAATCAGTAGTCTTTAAACAGAGGAATTGGTATGCAAATAACAATTAAAATTCAATGTTTAACGGAAGCTTGCATTAACATGGTTTAATAATTATGTACACAAATTATGTACATATTAGCATAATCTCTTGCAATTCTGTCATTTACTCTGAACTGATAAATGCACAGCTCAACTTTTCTTCAGAGAAAAATAGATGACCTTCCCAACCCTCTAGCACTATAATAAAAATGCTCTGTATTCTCTCTCCATACTCCAAAATGTTATGAAAATAGTGTCTTGTGGTTCTGTCCAATGAAAAGCACCTTTCAAAAGCAAATTTGATGCATCTGCTGCCCAGTGGGCATGCCTCCAGTGTAAATCAAAGAAAATCATTTCTTTTGATATTTCACAGAAGTGCATCTAATTAAAAACTTACACATGAAATCATACACCAAGACTAACAATCAACAATAAAATATTTTAAGCTACAAAAAATGTAAATTATTTTTTAATTATAAGAAAACAAAAACATTGACATTAAGTGTTGTAAAAATCCTTCTTGACACCCAAAACTAAGGGGAAAACAACTCATCATTAAGAAGCAAATAATTTGTTTACATTAAAAAAAAAAAAAAAAGACCTGGCAAAATACATACACCCATTCCATTTCACAACTCCAAAAAGGTAATGTTCAGCACAGAGAATTTGACAACCGTTGACCTTCAGGCTTATTAAAATTTCAACTTAAGCCCAATATCAACAGGGTTAATGTTAGCTGGAAAAATACGTTTTAATATTCTTTAGACTGCAGTGTAGGTATTTCCTGTAGCGCTGCACTGTCTGATAGTCTGAGTACTCGTGACGATGTGCTCGCTGTGAATTGGATTCAGGAGGCTTGGCTGCACGCCACTCTCGAGGACAGGCTGCATACAGCCTACCGGAAATGCCTGGTTCAGCTCGGTTTTCTCTCTTTTGGCTTGAGGTTCTGAAGAGTCATCTAATTCCTCATCCATTTCACTCTCCACTTCACTGCCTTCATCTGCACAAACAAATAATACCAAGACTATTACCAGAAGACAAACTGGGAAAGAGCAACCAACAAATGCTTTAGGAACACTTTAATATAGTACATTGAGAAAGCAACTCCTTAGCGCTTCTTGGGGGACAAAGCTTGTGGGTTGTCCTTTCAACAGATTTTACCTGTGTCAGTGCTCTATTCTTTTAAACACAGCAAAGGTAATTTATTCTTGGGTTTGTGATTGATATCTTTAATAGGTCTTTTAAGAAGACCTTTGGAGTTCCCTAAAGTTTTTACATTAACTAGTGGCATAATTTGTGTCATTATAAAGTAGTCACTTGGGTACACTACGCTGGCTTTGGGGAATGTATTGCGCTGAAAAATGCTAACTATGAAAAAAACAAAAGGAAGAAAGAAAGAAAAAAATTTGTTTTTCCTCTGAAAATCTACATCTGATATAAATTTTATCTGTGCTGATGTTAATGTAGGTGAGACCTATGTTGAGTCACGAAATAACTATAGCATGCATAAGCAGGGGCTGCGTACAGACCTTCTGTGCACATGAATGTTGTAGATCACAATATTAATTAGACCCTTAACTTTTATTACAAAATGAAGACTGAGGCAGTAGTATCAGATTAAAAATGCACAGTGAATTTCCATTCCTAGCAACACTGATACTCTCTGTTAACAGCTAGTATTCATTTCTGGAAATCAGGTGTATAAATAGTCACTGTTACTTCCAAATTTTAATACATTTTATATTAACTAAAACATCATTATAATGGAATACTATTTCATTTTTTCCAGCATGCACTGTTAAAATTCAAAAGCACAGCATAGAGAGAAAATGCTCTCACACAGCTTTACTACTGTGTAAGATTCTCCTCAGAGGAGTGGAGAGAATACCTCTTCATAAGCGCTAATTTTTAAACAGCTAGGGATATATTTCTGCCTCAAAAATCTTTTCACTGGGAATTCCCTGGTGGTCCAGTGGTTAGGACTCTGTGCTTTCACTTCTGGGCCTGGTTTCGATCCCTGGTCAGGGAACTAAGATCCCACAAGCCACGTGGCACAGGCAAAAAAAAAAAAAAGTCTTTTTACTTCATCCTCGACATGTTTTATTGTCTACCGAAAAAGCCTCCACACATAATTACACCAAAACCTCATCTATAAATAAAAGATATCTATACTTATTCTTATATTTTTGACTTATTATGGTGACTTTTGTATTAACAGAATCAGATCTCCATTATATTCTATGGCATGTCACATGCAAAGAGTGTGTAACAAGTTACTGCAATGTCAGCTGGACTCTGTCTAAGAGGTGTTGAGTCTAGTTTTACCATTTGGGGCACACCTGCAGCAGTTCTGCTAATACAGTTCTCGGTGTAAATGGGCTCCCTGACGTTGCTTCTCTTATTATCAATTGGTGCAAAGATGGTTCCAGAGAAAAGTGGTGAGGAATAATAGGGCCTCCATATAAGGTGCAGGTTGTACAGTTGTGCAGTTGCCGGGAGCAACGTCTTCTGGGAAGGTTGTGTGATTAAAAAGATTGAGATTAGATACACTGACTAGAAATGGTGTCTGTGATGCATTGAATGATAAACAGAAGAAGTTCTCTGGGACGAGGTAAGCTGTTTTGGCCACCTGCTTTATCCGGTTACCGTTCGCCTCTGGTAAAGGACTTGAGGATAGCATTACAGTTTGTCCGAACAAGCACATTCGAAGGGCTGGCGAGCTGCCGGAAAGGGCTACGTTTGGTAGACATTTGCTTCATTAAGAGGATATAATCAAAATATGCTTGTATGACACTTTTGCATTTTTTTTTTGTATTTGTTTTCATATGAACAAACAAAAGGTCTGGAAGGATCCTCACACTAAATTCTTAATGGTGGTAGTCTCTGGCTTTTGACTATGAAGTTTTTACTTTCTGTAATTTCTAATTCTCTGCATTATTTGAAATCTTTATACATAACTAATGTTACTTTTATTATCCAGAAAAAAATCAAACTCTCATTTTGTGGAAAAAGCCCCCCAAAATTTCTTAAAGATTTCACATTCAAACCTTAGGTTCTGAATATGCTAGTTTGGTTAATTCTCAAGAAGCATCCAGTCTAGAGGTGAATGGGACCAGCAGAGCCACCCGAGGAAGGTGAGGGCAAGTCACACTGCTCCTTGGCTCCCTCTCTACCAACTTTTCTGTGACTGAGAAATAGTGTCAAAGTAATAAAAGAGGCAGCAGTAAAAGAAAAAAAAAAAATCATTTCAAGCAGGCAGGCAAGTGGAGAGAGAATGGGATGTCCTTTCATCTACCCTGCTGTGGATGGAAAAGGCAATGGGGAGATGGACAGAACAAACTCCAGTGCTCCAGGCCACGCTGCTTCAGGTCCACTTGTGAGTGACAGGGTTCCTCTGGATAGGCTACAAAGCAATCACAAAAGCAAGCCCTTTCTCTAGTTCCCACAGACATTTTATGCTCCTATAGAGACTCAAAAGACATTTCCTGGGAACCTACTTGAAGTTATGGGAATTTGGTACACAAAAACTAAAACTAGGTGCTGCTGGAGTTTACCAAAGACTTTGGTTCAACGCTTGACAAGGAAGACTGGCTGCCATTCAGTGTTTGGCCCAGGAGCAACATTCCTACTACACCTCCGGACACCCTGGGATGAAATCCCCAAATTTGAATTATGAGGCTTTGGTGTCAGTGCATCATTGGGGTTGCCTTATATGTTGGGCCTGCATTTCAACAGCCACTTTTCCTGCTCTGAATTTACAAACTGGCCTCATCATTGATTTGCCTCTCTGATGTTTCTTTGGTTAATCCTATAGAGTATATATTTGCAACAATGATGTTTTGGGGCTATCATTCTCTACTTTTCCTGTTTTGCTATTATGCATGTTGCTAAAACAGGAATTAACGCGTACACAGTTGATAAATAGTGATAGGAGTTTAAAGTGGGAGTGATGTTGATTCACACAGGACTTTCCCCGGCATGTGAATGTCTTCCATCACCAAGGAGGCACGGAAGCTGAACACGGAGTACCCTAGTACAGGACGCTGCAGAGAACAGTGTGGCACCTCGTGTGTGGATTCCCCACGTGCTTCCTCATGCCTCAGTTTCCCCACTGGCTCTGGCTCTGTCCTGGAAGGGATAATGGTGTAGTTCTCCCCAGTCTATGGACACTTTCTCCCTGACTCCAAAACTCAATTCCTTAAAACCTCAAGAAATCTTCACTTTTTTTGTCTTTGTTTTTTGAAGAAAGGTATATATTTTCTGCAGTGCTTATTTATTAGAAATTTTACATTAAAAAAAGAAAAACAACAACTGAGCTGGTATTTTTTTCAGAATTGTTTCTCTTTGTGTGCACTCTATTCCAACCTCATTTTCCTTCGAGCCCTGTACCTTTTACTCTGTGGTTTTATAGGTCGTGAGTTTCTTCAGAATTATATATTGTGTTGTCACATTAGAGTGGCAATGCTGATATGAAAATTTAAAAGTATACATGTTATCCTTTTCATCTACCCCAATACTGATCTTGCTTTTATAGTAAACTTCATTGTTATCTCTGAGTTCTTTTTCCACTGAAAAATGTGAATTGGTGACTTGAGTACGCTGAGGAATCTTTTTCTTGCCGGGTGGGCCTTAAATAAAAATATTTGACCCAATTTTATCACTTTTTTCAGAACTCTGGCGAAAGCCAGAAATAATTTCTGGTTACTTGTACTTAATTGCAGGCAAAAAAAATCAAGAAGAGTTTAAACTGTATTTAAATTCAATTCTTGCACTTAATATATGTAACATAAAGAAAGCATAGAAATGGAGAAATAAAAAAGATTCCAAAAGACTTAACTATCATATTCATCAAGGATTGTATGCCATTTCCACAAAATAAAAGTGCTATACACATATACATTTTCCTCTATGAGAATTTCTTACTCAAAAAAAGTCCTTAAAAATGTACATTATTTTCAATTCTTACCTTTATCCAGATTTCCAGGAGACACAGCATTTAAATCACCAAACTGCAAAACAATAGTCATTTGTGCAACAGTTACTACCAAGCAGAATAAAATAATATTCTCAGAGACTGCAGTAAAAATACCACACTACGACTTTTTAAAACTGTAAACTAGCGACCATTTTGATCTCTAACTACACAGGTCACCTAATTTTCCAATCAAACCTGTCAAAATTGAACAGTTTAAACTGTGTCACAATTTAGCTGTCTTAGCCTTTTTGCAAAAGGATAACAATTTTCTGTCTTCCATGCTCCATTTTACTTTTTATTATCTGAACTCAGCAGTGAAGCAATAGGGGCCTGGCTGACCTGGATGAAGATGGATGTGGTAGAATAAATTTGGAAAAGCTCTGACGAAGCAGGATGCATCAGCTCCACCCCCATTAACTGTCCGTGAGTCCACCCGGAGTCTACACTATAGAAACATGGTCCAGCCACTTGGTTGAACTCTGTTTTTTTGAGTTTTTATTTGTAGAAATGAAAAACATAATAGGAGCCCCAACACTGAGAGTATTTATGTTTACAAAATCTTTGAGACTTCTCTTCTTGTAATTGATCTTCTTATTTACTAAGATAACAGGGTCCCAAATTAAAAAAGAAATGCATCTGATTGTTATTAGTGCAACAAAAAAGGTATTAAAACAATATGGAACAATTAATAACCTTCAGCTTAGACTTTACTTGCTACCTTAGTTCAAAAGCTTGATATTTTTACAGTGAAAAAATATATTTTAAGAGTCTCAGGGTGAACATAAATAAAAAATTGAAGAGCAGAGGTAACGAAGCTAATTGGAAAAAGGTGAAGTGAAACCTCATAGCACCTGCTTTTTAAATGGTAAACATTACTTTTTTTTTTAAAGCTGAAGATTCAGAATAAGTCATTATTAGAAATTCGGGTTTCTCAAAAAGCTTAGAAAGGGTGAGAGAGAAATTCTACTTACATTCGGAAGTTTGCTTATAAAGAGTTCCATGATAGGAGTATTTTTTTCATCTACAACATATGTCTATAAAGTAATAAAACTGATCTTATTTTGCAAACATACACACACATAATTTCTTTTTTTATCTAAACATGAGTTGTTCTTCATAGTAGCTACCTTGGGAGCTTATACATTTATTCCAAGGTTCAAGATTCTGGAATTCCTCTTTGACAACCAATTTCAAGAGTTAGTTTATGTATCATTCAAGAAAGCCCATCTTGTTGTTTTACATCAAACTGTGACTCCAAACACTCCACATTTTATTCATTGTACTTGGTCCTGAGATGATTTCTGATTACTTACCAAATTTAAATGCATCTCTGCCACAATTCAGGATATTTAAAATAATGTGTCATTTTACTCTTTATTATTTCTTAGCAGTTCAGAGGCAGTTTAAAAAGAGGCATTCCACATCACTTTAAGCCATGGCAGTATTACTGAACCAATGTGTAGCCTCCCGAGGTGACTGCCTTGAAGGGGACAAGGGCCTCCTGGTTGCACAACTCTTAGTATATTTGTTTGAAGGACTGCCCCATTGCGTTATAGTTACGTCCCATGGGCAGCAAACATAAAATCATAAATACTGAACTGTTGTTTTGAAGTTGTTCCTGTTCACATGGCTCAGAACCTTATGTTAGTCTAAATAAAAACCACAGTTTAAATTGTACAGGATTTCTTGAATTAAAGAATATAATAAAAGCACCAAAAAACACAACAGGATTCTTTACCTATTTTTGGTATTATTTAAATTTTTAGAACTATAAACAGAGAATGCCCAAAGCTGAAGGGTCATTTATATGTTATTTCTAGTTGACACATAGAGTAAGATTTTTATTTCTTTTAAATGAGTACTTAACAACACTTAAGACCCAATACTGGAAATGAGTTGGCAGTGATGAGTCTAAACATACCTTCCATATCTATAAAAAGTGAATACACCATTTGTTTTTGATAAATCTTGAAAAGTTGTTTGAGACTAAATTATTACTGCCATCAGTGATCAATAATATCATGCAAAGGGGCTAAAACCAAACTTTGAACACATATGGAAATTTTTCTTCGAAAGGAACACTGCTTTTAGTTGCTACTTAACTGAAAATATGACAACGTAATAGAAAGATTTTCCTTTGAAAATTTCTGCTTAATCTGAATGAATACATCTGATTACTCAGGATGATGAAAATAAAAACCAAAAACAATCGAAATCTCTGTAATCATTATTAGCATTAGTAAGTAAACATTTGCATACTCAATGCTGAGGGCTTGTGACCATGCACTGTGAGGGACACTGTGGAAAAAAAGAAAAAAAAAATCCTCAAGATACTGCCAATGCCTGTAGTTGTCTCTGGGATTAATGACAAAGTTCCATATGTACAACATACAGTAGATTTAAAATAAAAATATTGTGAATAAGAGGTTTTGATATACCTGTATAGTGGAAGGTGAAGGTTTTAATATGCATTTTATGTGTGAGGAAAGAATATACATTTGAGGACTTCCCTGGTGGCGTAGTGGTTAAGAACCCACCTGCCAATACAGGGGATATGGGTTCAAGCCCTGGTCCGGGAAGATCCCACATGTCGCGGAGCAACTAAGCCCGTGAGCCACAACTACTGAGCCTGCACTCTGAAGTCCGTGAGCCACAACTCCTGAAGCCCACGCACCTGGAGCCCGTGCTCCGTAACAAGAGAAGCCACCGCAATGAGAAGCCCTCGTACCGCAACAAAGAGTAGCCCCCGCTCGCCGCAACTAGAGAAAGCCCGCGCGCAGCAACGAAGACCCAACGCAGCCAAGAAAAAAAAAAGAATATACATGTGATTAAGGAAAAAAAACACCCTAATCCTACAGATAGAGTAGGTAAGATCAGGACAATCAGTTCGTTCATTCAGTATTCAAAAAATATTTATTGAGAGCTTATTATGTGCTAGGCACTCTGCCAGCCAAGTTCCAGTCAGATTAATTTGGAAATATTCCCTCTTTCTGAAGGTGAGTATCAGAAGTTGTTTATATTAAAAAGGACAGGTAGTTTAGCCAAAAACCAAGGCAGCCTAGAAAACCTTCAGGAAGGTTTTAAAACCACAGGGTTATTAGAAAGGGAGTTTGGAGGGAGCAGCAAGTCAAAGTAGCAGGAAGGGAGGAAGGAAGGGAAGGGAGGCAGGGAAGACTGAGAGCGGGAATAAGGACGGCGGCATCACAGACAGGAGAGAGACGACAGGGACGTAAATGAGGCCAGCACACACTAGCAACAGAAGAGGAGAAGGAGAGACATGATTTGGATTAAAAAAATGGAGGTTGGGGCTTCCCTGGTGGCTCAATGGTTGAGGGTCCACCTGCCGTTGCAGGGGACGAGGGTTTGTGCCCTGGTCCGGGAAGATCCCACATGCCGCGGAGCGGCTGGGCCTGTGAGCCATGGCCGCTGAGCCTGCGTGTCCGGAGCCTGTGCTCCGTAACAGGAAAGGCCACAGCAGTGAGAGGACTGCGTAGCGCAAAAATAAATAAATAAATAAAATAGAGGTTGGCAAGGAAGTCCAGAGATTACTGAAAAGTTATAGCTTCAGAAACTGAAAAACTCTTACTGCTTTCTAATTTCCCCTGCTGCACAGGGGACTGGAGGGGACTACTATTCACTGAGGTGACGTCTTACAGCTTATAAAGTACTTTCATGGTTCAGCATATAGTTGGCTTCCTCTCAAATATGATGACCTCAAGTATCACTTTCTCAATATCACTTCTTCAGAGAGGCTTTTCCTCACAGCCCTACTTAAGCATCTCCTTCCCTGTCACTGTTCATCAGCACCTCACAAAAAACTTATGAATCTGGCTAGGTAAGGAGCTTAGATTTAATCTTGCAGCTATTGAAAACATGTTAATTTGTCTAACATTGTAAGGAAATATGGTGGTGTTAGATTTGAGACCAGATATTCTGACCATCAGTTTAGGAAGGGAGGGAGTAAGGGAGTGGGAGGGAGAGGGAGAGAGAGAGAGAAAGTATGTATGTTTCCTACATGGAAGAAAGAATATAAATTAAGGGATTTAAAATGTGCTCTGGGGTAGAAAGCATATGGCCTTTGATGTACATAGGAGTTAAAGTTCTGTCAGCCAGACAGATAAATAGGGAACGTTCTGAAGTAGAAACAGAATGGAACATAGAGAAAGCATAGCTGTTGTTTTTAGGAAGAAAGACCTCCTTGCCTAGAAACCATTTCTCCAGGCCCTGACAACCGGTCATAATAATGAGCATGCTCCTGGACAGCAGCAGACTAAAAAATGTGTGGTCAAGGCAGGCAGTGGGAGTCTGTTAGACCATAAATTCATGACGAGTAGTAATGGCCAGGAAGTATAAATGGGAGACTGGTCAGCACAGCCTATGTGACTACTGGCAGCATCCTTGAGAGCAACCCTGAGTATGACCCTGACTTGTGGCCAAGCAGCTGAGAAGCAGTTCATCATAGGACTGTGAGGCCTAAGCACAGGCACCATGAGAGAAATCAGGCTCAGAATGGGAGGATGCAGCCCACAGGTATACTGCAGAGACCATTGCAGGTTAGATACAGCAGCAGTGAACCTTCCACAATAAGGGAGGCAAGACTTGTATTGTAATAGCTGGAAAGTGAAACAATGCAGAGGAAGCCAGGGGGCTCAGACAGCAAACTGGTGAGGATCCACGGGGGCCCACAAAACAGAGACTGGGGATAGAAGGAAGGAGTTCAAGGACTGGGATGAAGACCTCACCCGTGGGAATGCTTTCCCTGCTGGAAGAGTTTACCCCATCCTGGGGAGGAAGGTTAGTGAGTAATCATAACCACACCATCTGGGCAGCCAGGTAAACATCCTCCACAGAAACCACATCTTACCACAAAATCTCTCTGCTGGTATGCCCAGATTTATAGATTTACAGGCAGACAGATACAATCTCTCCCCCCCCCACACACACACACACAGACACACACAATGTATAACTGATTTACACGCTGGCACCAAAATATGAAAGTGTATGGTCTAGAACAGGGGTTAGTAAGGGGTC